CACTCTGCCCAGCTCTCATCACTGTCAGACCCACCAGAGCTGAAGGCAGAGGGATTGGGGGCTGGGGCAGCCTGGGTCCCCATGCCCCTCTCTGTGCCTCGGTCTCCCCCCTTCCATGGTGGGCGGGGGGGAAGCTCCATTCTTAACCTACCTCGTTTTGGGGAGGGGTGGGACAGGGGACCAGAGTGCTGTACGGTGCTGTGGGATCTGCAGATGAAGTGGTGGGGGCTGGGGAAAGGTCCCCTGGCCGCCACTTCCCAGCAGCGCCTCTCCCAGGCCTCCCAGTCCTGCTCCCTGCTGAGACCCACCTCTGATCCATGATTCCCCTTCACTGCCCCCAAATCAGGGGTGCGTGGAGGGCCGCCCTGGGAGCCAGGAAGACCTCAGCCCCTGGAGCCCCCAGGCCCAATTTCCCAGCCGCATGCCCCTCAGATCGGATGCTTGGCCCCCAGATTTGGGGGAGGCACCCCAACATATATCTTCCTGATCTTGATTCTAAGCCAGTCTGTGACCTCAATATCGTTAGTGTCAGTGCAGGCTGAAACGGTGGGGGAGGATGGGGGCCGAAGACCCAGCCTTGTCAACCGGGGGAGGGGCATGAGATCTGCTCCAAGAAATGTCTGTGACAAAGTCTTAGCCTGTGTTATTTATTTGCCTCTGTGCACACTGCCCACTCACCTTCCTGAACTGCCAGACCAGTCTCCGACTTATCCTTTGGTCCCATCAGACCCTTGAGTTTTATAAGGCACTTAACAAGTGCATTTATTGAGCACCTATTACATGCCAAGCCCTGTTGAAAGCACTCGAGAAAAAGCAGTGGGCAGAACACACAAAAGCCCCTTTATAGTGAGGGAGACAATGAGTAAATGACTTACTATGTTAGAAATGATATATGCCAGGTGCGGTGGCTCACGCCTGTAATCCTAGCACTGTGGGAGGCCGAGGTGGGTGGATCACCTGAGGTCAGGAGTTCAAGACCAGCTTGGCCATCATGGTGAAACCCCGTCTTTAAAAAAAAAAAAATGAAATGATATAAAGCAGAAAGAAAAAAAGAAGGTGGGAACAGGATGCAGGCCGTTTTAGCTAGAGTGGCCAGGTTAGGCCTCCTCAGCAGCCAGCATTTGTTGTTGTGTTTTTGAGATGGAGTCTGGCTCTGTTGCCCAGGCTGGAGTGCAGTGGCATGATTTCCATTCACTGCAGCCTCTGCCTCCCGGGTTCAAGCGATTCTCCTGCCTCAGTGTCCTGAGTAGCTGGGATTACAGGCACACGCCACAATGCCTGGCTCATTTTTGTATTTTGAGTAGAGACGGGGTTTCACCATGTTGGCCAGGCTGGTCTCAAACTCCTGACCTCAAGTGATCTGTCCGCCTTGGTCTCCCAAAGTGCTAGGATTACAGGTATGAGCCACCATGCCCGGCCAGGAGCTGGCATTTGAATAAAACCCTGAGGGGGGCGAGGGAGTCCTGAGGATGTCTGCAGGGAAGGGTATTTTAAGTAAAGGGAACAGCTAGTGCAAGGGCCTGAGGCCGGAGTGTGTCAGGGAAATCTGAGGAGGTTCAGGGAGTTAAGAGGGGAGAAAGCAAAGAAGAAGGTGCCAGGAGATGAGGGCTGAGAGGCGACGGGGCAAATGTGTAAGGCCTTGCAGGCCATTGAGTGGACTTTGGATTTTGCCCTGAGTGAGACGGAGCCACAGGAAGTTTCAAACGTGGGAGGGATGTGACCTGACTCAGGTGTTCACAGGCTCCCTCTGCTGCAAGTGGTCAACAGGTGGGAGCGGGGGGAGGGGGCAGCTTGACAGAGAGGAGGCTGCTGTGAAGGTTCAGGACAAGACATCGGCGGACAGGCCCAGGGTGAGGGCCCTGGAGGGCAGAGAAGTGGGCACCTGCTGGGACCAGTTTGTAAGTAGAATCCACAGATTTATATACGCAGTTTGCGATAAAGAGAGGAGTCAAGGTTGTAAGTCCAGGTTTTTGGCTGGAGCAATTTATTTATTTTTTATTTTTTCCACTTGACATCCGATTTCTTATTTTTTATTTTTTGAGACATTGTTTCACTCTTGTGGCCCAGGCTGGAGTGCAATGGCGCAATCTCGGCTTATGGCAACCTCCGCCTCCCGGGTTTAAGCGATTCTCCTGCCTCAGCCTCCTGAGTAGCTGGGATTACAGGCATGTGCCACCATGCCTGGCTAATTTTAGATTTTTAGTAGAGATGGTTTTCTCCATGTTGGTCGGGCTGGTTTCAAACTCCCGACCTCAGGTGATCTGCCTGCCTTGGCCTCCCAAAGTGCTGAGATTACAGGTGTGAGCCACTGCACCGGCTTTTGTGATCCTCTCACCTCAGCCTCCTGAAGTGCTGGGATTACAGGTGTGAGTCACTGTAGTCTGCCTCTGGGCAATTTTTTTTTTTTGAGACGGAGTTTCACTCACATTACCCAGGCTGGAGTGCAATGGCGCGATCTCGGCTCACCACAACCTCCGCTTCCCGGGTTCAGGCAATTCTCCTGCCCCAGCCTCCTGAGTCGCTGGGATTACAGGCACGCACCACCATGCCCAGCTAATTTTTCGTATTTTTTAGGAGAGACGGGGTTTCACCATGTTGACCAGGATGGTCTCGATCTCTTGACCTCGTGATCCACCCGCCTCGGCCTCCCAAAGTGCTGGGATTACAGGCTTGAGCCACCGCACCCGGCCCCTCTGGGCAATTTTTAACATTTGATTTAGGTCAACAAATGGCCCCCAAAGTGTGCTGTCTTAGGGTAAACAGGGTTATGGGACTACTCAGATCTGCCCTTGAGGAACAAGTTCTTTCTCGCTCTCTCTCTCTCTTTTTTTTTTTTTTTAAAGATGGAGTTTCGCTCTTGTCACTCAGGCTGGAGTGCAGTGGCGGTCTTTGCTCACCGCAACCTTGACCTCCCAGGTTCAAACAATTCTCCTGCCTCAGCCCCCGAGTAGCTGGGATTACAGGTGTGTAATTTTTGTATTTTTTAGCAGAGACAGGGTTTCACCATGTTGGCCAGGATGGTCTCAGTCTCTTGACCTCATGATCCACCCGCCTCAGCTTCCCAAAGTGCTGGGATTACAGATGTGAGCCACCGCACCCAGCCAAGGAAAAAGTTCTATCCCTGTTCTTCCGTCCAGGCTCCTGGTCCATCCCTGACTTCCAGCAGAATGTCTAGGAACTACTGGATACCAGGATACAGTAAGGAGGAGATGAGCTCTGATACAATGTTTTCTTAGCGACAGCAACAAAACAATAGTGGTAATAACAGTGGAAATTGGTTCAGTGGTTTAAAAGCATAGAATTTGGAATTTGATCTTCATTTCTTGGCACCACCATGAATTCACTCTGTGACTTCTCTCAAACTTATTTTTCTCCTCTGTAAAAGAGATAAGATGCTTCATCCAATAGTACACATTAAATGCTATGGATATATATATATATTAGTTATTCTTTATTAAGTACTCCCTATATATCTGCTAAGCACTTTTTATATATGAAACTCTAATTAATCCTCAGCAACAACTTTAAGAGGTAGGTACTATTATCCCCATTATACAGATGGGAAGCAATTTGGTAGGAACACGGAGCTGCTGAGTAATGGAATCAAACCCTAACCCTTGTCTGCCTGACTCCTAGGGTGTAATCTCTTAACTACTATGGTGCATTGCACCTGCTCACTCCAAGGCTTAGAAGGGAGAGGAGTGAAGGCCAAACAGGCACATTGTGATGGATGAGGAGGGCCTGGTGTGTGAGGGGTGTGCCGGGATTCCTGGGTCCCTTACATAATTCAAACCCTGAGGTGGAAGGAGGGAGGAAGTTTTGGCTTTTGGGCAGAGTTGAGTGAACACCACTCCGTCTGGGCTGCTTTAAGAGCAGAGGACAGGGCCAGGCACAGTGGCTCAAGCCTGTAATCCCAAAACTTTGGGAAGTGGAGGAGGGAGGATTGGTTGAGTCCAGGAGTTAGAGGCAAACCTGGGCAACATAGCTAGACTCCCCTCTACAAAATTTTATTGTATTTGACATGGAGTCTCCCTCTGCTGCCCAGGCTGGAATACAGTGGCTTGATCTCGGCCCATTGCAGCCTCTGCCTCCCGGGTTCAAGAGATTCTCCTGCATCAGCCTCCCAAGTAGCTGGGACTACAGGCGCATGCCACCATGCCCGGCTCACTTTTGTATTTTTAGTAGAGATGGGGTTTCACCATATTGCCCAGGCTAATTTCGAACTCCCGACCTCAGGTGATCTGCCCGCCTTGGCCTCCCAAAGTGCTGGGATTACAGGCGTGAGCCACCGCGCCTGGCCTTTACAAAACTTTAAAACAACAACAGAAAAATTGGCCGGTCGCGGTGGCTCACGCCTGTAATCCCAGAATTTTGGAAGGCCGAGGCAGGCGGATCGCTTCAACCCAGGAGTTGGAAACTAGACTGGGCAATATGGGGAAACCTTGTCGCTACAAAAAAATTCAAAAATCAGCGAGGCGTGGTGGTCTGCGACGGTGGTCCCAGCTACTAGGTGCAAGCCACCAAGCCTGACTACTTTTAAAAAATTTACCTGGGAGGCTGAGGTGGGGAGGATATCTTGAGCCCAGGAGGTCGAGGTTGCAGTGAACCGTGATGGCGCCACTGCAGTCCCGCCTGAGCGGATAGCTCGAGACCTGTCTCAAAAACAAACCAACAAAACACCAGCAGAAGACAGCTGAGGGAGGAGAAGGAAAAGGAAACCGATGTTGTTTTGATGTCCCTGCAGCAGTGACACCCGCCGCCAGCTTGTGACAGCTGAGATCCGGATGCACCGCAATCTACAGCGGGTAAGGGGGTTCCTAGAAACCGGACAGGTTACTCGAGAGGCGGGGCGGGCGGACCGGGGGGCGGGTCCGGCGTCTCCCTGAGCCAATGGGAGCACCGAAGTCCCTGCGCGGGAAGATGCCGATTGGTTGGTACCGCCAGACGCTGGGAGCCCGTGCGCGCGGCGCTTCTGGGGCGGAGCCTGGCGCCGGCCGCCAGGGGGCGCGCGCCTGGCGCCGAGGCGACGCGTTCATGGAGGGGGTGAAGGCGGAAGCGCGGGAGGGGGCCGCGGTGGCCCGGGACCTGCTGGCTCTAGGGTAAGAGGGTGTGCGGTGAGGCTGGTGGGTGCAGGAAGGCCAGGTCTGCTCCCTGGACGTCGACAGAAAGGGATTCTCAGTGACCTCCCCGCCCCTTCCCGCTACCTCGGCCCCCACAGGTATGGGGGTGTCCCGGGGCTGGCGTCGCAGGGCTCCTCATGCCCAGACTTCAGGGCGCTGTGCGCGCAGCTGGCGGCGGAGCTGGCGACGCTGGGCGCCCTGGAGCAGCAGCGAGAGGCGGGCGCCGAGGTGCTGAGCGCCGGCGACGGTATGCACGGAGCGGGAGGGTGGCAGGGGCCCGCTGCGGGGCCACCGCGCCGTGACACCCCTGTCCCCGCAGGCCCCGGCGCGGAGGAGGACTTTCTGCGGCAGCTTGGCCGCCTATTGCGGGAGCTGCACTGTCCGGATCGCGCGCTCTGTGGTGGGGATGGGGCGGCTGAGCTTCGGGAACCCGGCTCCAGCCTGCGCCTGCTGCGTGAGTTCCGGGGTGCGGGAGTGGCTAGTCCACAGCCTCAGGAGCGGCGGGCTCCGACTTTTTAGGGAAAATCGAGGTTCCCAAGGGGGAGTGGTCAGAACTTTGGGGCGGCCTAGAGGGTACGAAGTGGGTGGAGTGCGCATATTGTGGTGGGCAGAGGACTCTCTCTGAGATAGGCGGGGTTAGAATTTTATTTTATTTTTATTTATTTATTTTTTGAGACAGAGTTTCACTCTTGTTGCCCAAACTGGAGTGTAATGACGTGATCTGGGCTGACTGCAACAACCTCCGCCTCCCGGGTTCAAGCGATTCTCCTGCCTCAGTATCCCAAGTAGCTGGGATTACAGGCGCATGCCACCACGCCTGGCTAATTTTTTGTATTTTTAGTAGAAACGGGGTTTCACTTTGTTAGCCAGGCTGATCCCCAACCCCTGACCTCAGGTGATCTGCCCGCCTCGGCCTCCCAAAGTGCTGGGATTACAGGCAGGAACCACCACTTCCCGCCTGGGGGTAGAATTTTAATTGGAGGATCTGGGAGCTCAAGTGGGTTGGATTAGGAGGGCGTTTGGAGGTAGGCAGGAGTCGAATTCGGAGGAGGGGACAGGGTCTTAAGGGTGGGGCTTACACTGGAGGCGGAACCAAGGCTTTAGGTAGGTGAGACTAGAAGGTAGAGGCTTTTTTCTTTTTTAAAAGGAAATGGGGTCTCTTTACGTTGCCCTATTTGGTCTTGAACTCTTGGCTTCAAGCAATCCTCCCGCCTCAGCCTCCCAAGGTGTTGGGATTACAGGCATGAGCCACTGTGCCTAGCCAAAGGTGGAAGTTTTGAAGCCGGCGGAGCTTTTTGACCAAGATGAATGGATGGGGTAGCAGCCTCCCTGAGTGCACAGCTCCGGTTTTCTACTTTCAGGCTTTCTCTGCTCAGAGCTCCAAGCCACCCACCTCCTGCGCCTGCGCTCTCTGCTGGATCCCAGTCCCGGGCCACCCCTTGGTGAAGGGGTGGAGGGAACTGGCATGGTCCAGGAACTGGCCCTTACCCTCCAAGCCCTGGGACTGCCCAGACCTGCACCAGGGACCCCCGCCAGCCAGCTGCTGCAGGAGTTGCATGCTAAGGTAGAGTCAGAACAATTCTCACCCTCCCCTGCCTCCTGGGCTACCCCACTTTCCTGGGGCGGGGGTGGGGGTAGGGGAGAGGTTCCTCTCTCCCTAACACCTCTGGAAGGAGTGTTCCAACCACTGGTATGTTCTTTCTGCAGCTGTGACTGCCATTCTTGCATCTGTGGCCTCAGGACTGTGGGGAACTGGGTTTACAGAGGGTTCCATCCTCCCTGTCCCAGTTGGCCTCTGACTTCTTCTCTCATCAGATCTCAGAGCTGCAGCCTTCTCTGCCCCCCGGGTCCCTGCAGCCCCTCCTCAGCTCCTCGCTAGATGCACCCAGATGGGTAAGACTGTGTGTGACTGACTGAATGTGAACTGTGTCCTCATCAGAGGTGGCAGTGAGAGGAACCCCTAGCCTGATCTTGAGACCTTTTCTCCCAGGAAGCGCTGGAGTCTCTGTCCCAGAGCCTGAGAGATCAGTACCAGTGCCGCCGCTGTCTCCTCCTCAAGCGCCTTGACCTCACCACATCTGCTTTCCACTGGAGTGACCGGGCAGAGGTGTGGGCAGAGGACCGGGCGGAATTGGACAGGCCCAGTTGTGGGGGGCTGCAGTTGCACGGAGGAGGAATGAGGGTCAGGAGTATCACCCTCTTGGAGGTTCTGAGGCTGTGGCCATTTTAGAATTTTTTGAGGTTTGGGGCTCCTGGAATCTCAGGGCCCCAGGGTATTGTTGAATTCCTAGCTCTGAGCTGGGAGTATATTCAGAGGTATACCCCACCCCATCTTTAAGAGATAGGAGCAGAGCCAGGCATGGTGGCTCATGCCTGTAATCCCAGCACTTTGGGAGGCCAGGGCAGGAGGCTCACTTGAAAGCAGGAGATTGAGGCTGCAGTGAGCCACCATCACATCACTGCACTCCAGGCTGGGTGACGGTGAGACCTTGTCTCAAAAAATAAATATTTGGCCAGGCACGGTGGCTCATGCCTATAATCCCAGCACTGTAGGTGGCCGAGGTGGGTGGATCACCTGATGTCAGGAGTTCGAGACCAGCCTGACCAACATGGTGAAACCCCATCTCTACTAAAAATACAAAAATTAGCCGAGCATAGTGGTAAGTGCCTGTAATCCCAGCTACTCAGGGGGCTGAGGCAGGAGAATGGCTTGAACCTTGGAGGCAGAGGTTGCAGTGAGCCGAGGTTGTGCCACTGCACTCCAGCCTGGGAGACAGAGCGAGAGTCCATCTCAAAAAAAATGTATTGAGAGCTGTGGGCAGCGAAGTCTTGAGTGGGGAAGTGATACTTCCAGGATGACAGGTCCCACCCGGGGACCTTCTCTGTACCTCCTCACCACTCCAGGCCCAAGGAGCGGCCATGAGGGCAGTGCTGATCCCACTTCGAGAGTTTCTCACCCCAGAATCGGACATCTCCCTCGCACATGTCCTGGCTGCCCGAGCCGATCTGTCTCGTCTCGTCCCAGCCACCAGCGTGGCTGTCCGCAGAGGGACCTGCTGTGCCATCAACAAGGTGAGCATCTGGGGTAGGGAAGGGCCCTGGCATCCTTGGCCTTCAGATTGGCCTTTCAGCCTCTGCTCCAGTGCAGGCTTCAGACTCACTGCCTCTAATCCACCCACTAGACAGCAGCCAGAAGGACCTCTCTCACACAAAAGCTTGACTGTAGACTCCGCAGCTCAGAACGCTTCTGTGGCTCTATAATGATTTGAAAACAAAGTCCAACTATTTACTGAGCCCCCGGCCACTTCTCCAGCTTGGGCTTAAAATCCTTCTCCATCACCTCACAGTATCTATTGTGTTGTTTTTTTAACCATTTTTTTTTTTTTTTAAAGAAATACTGCCAGGCACAGTGGCTCACTCCTGTAATCCCAGAACTATAGGAGGCGGAGGTGGGCGGAAAATCTGAGGTTGGGAGTTCGAGACCAGCCTGACCAAGATGAAGAGACCCTGTCTCTTTTATTTCTTTATTTCTTTATTTAATCTGTTTTTATTTATTTATTTTTTATAAAGACAGGGTTTCACCATGTTGGTCAGGCTGATCTTGAACTCCCAACCTCAGATGATTCGCCTGCCTTGGCCTCCAAAGTGCTTGGATTACAGGCGTGCGCCACCACGCCCAGCCAAGGCCCTGTCTCTACTAAAAATACAAAATTAGCCGGGCATAGTGGTGCATGCCTGTAATCCCAGCTACTTGGGAGGCTGAGGCAGAAGAATTGCTTAAATCTGGGAGGTGGAAGTTATGGTGAGCCGAGTTCTCACCATTGCACCCCAGCCTGGACAAAAGGAGCAAACCTCCGTCTCAAAAAATAAAAATAAACCACACAGAAATCCCCTCTGTGGGCTGGGTGCAGTGGCTCACGCCTGTAATCCCAGCACTTTGGGATGCCAAGGTGGGTGGATCACGAGGTCAGCAGTTCAAGACCAGCCTGGCCAACATAGTGAAACCTCGTCTCTACTAAAAAATATAAAAAATTAGCCAGGCATGGAGGCAGGCACCTGTGATCCCAGCTACTCAGGAGGCTGAGGCAGGAGAATCGCTTGAACCGGGGAGGCAGAGGTTGCAGTGAGCTGAGATTGCGCCGTTGCACTCCAGCCCGGGCAACAGTGTGAGACTCTGCCTGCCCTCTGTTTTAGTAATTAGGTATCTAGCCGCATACTTCTGTAAGTATTCTTATGTAAAATGAGTATTGGGGAATAAAGTCTAGCACAGCAAAGATTAAGGCAAAATTTAAGTTAAGAAAAAAATGAGCTGGAGGTGGGTGGATCACTTGAGCCCAGGAGCAGAGGCTGCAGTGAGCCGTGCTCTCGCCACTGCACTCCAGCCTGGGCGACTGTGTCCCCGCCCAAAAAAAAGCTCATGCTTGTCTCTTCCACTAATTCAGCCCTCCCCCCGCCCAGCCACTGTACTCAAATAGTCGACATCTGCCTGCCTTCTTCAGCCTTATGCTGTTCCCTTTCTCTGTGGCCCCCTTGTCCAGGATACTTTTTTCCTCTGCAACTCAAATCTCATAAACTTTCAGGTGCTTATGGGCAATGTTCCAGACCGGGGGGGCCGCCCAAATGAGCTGGAGGCTCCCATGCCCACCTGGAGGAGCCGAACAGAGGGTGGAGGCGGACGGAAGACAGGCCCCCAGTGCTGGGGCCGCAAGAAGAAGAAGAAGAAGTAAAGGGGGACTGGTGGGCAGGGGCGGGGGTCCTCCATGAGATGCCAATGCCGTTGGTCATCTGGGGAGTCAGTTTAAGTCTTTCCTTGGTATATGGTCCATCATCTCCTATTCCTGAGGCCCCAAATGCCCTACTTCCATGTACCCGTCAATACCAAGAGCCATGTTCTCTGGAGAATAAATTTAATTTATGACAGCTATAGGACCTCTCCCTGTAGGGCCCAAGTCAGGGGTGCTTGGGTTTGTGAAGGGGTTGGGGGTGTCTCTGCTCCCTGGGTCTGAATGGGCCCCTGCTGCTCTGACCCTCAAGGTTCTTTGCCCTAAAGCACATCTTTCTTGTGCCTTGGGCATGGGTAAGGAGACACTCAGGCATCGGACAAACATCTGTCAGGCGCCTACCACCTGCCAGCCCTGTTCTAGGCACTGGGGATGCAGCAGTGAAAGACGTTGATAGAAATCCCTACTCTTGGCCAGGGGCAGCGGCTCACACCTGTCATCCCAGCACTCTGGGAGGCTGAGGTGGACGGATCATGAGGTCAGGGGTCCGAGACCAGCCTGGCCAATATAGTGAAACCCCGTCTCTACTAAAAATACAAAAATTAGCCAGGCGTGGTGGTGGGTGCCTGTAACCCAGCTACTCAGGAGGCAGAGGCAGGAGAATTGCCTGAATCTGGGAGGCAAGATTGCAGTGAGCTGAGATCATACCACTGCACTCCAGCCTGGGCGGCAGAGTGAGACTCCATCTCAAAAAATAAAAGATCTCTGCTGTCCCGGAGCTGATGTTCTGATGTTCCTGGTGAGGAAGGACAGATGTTAAGGGAGATAAAGAGGGAAAAAGTATAGGCTGTCAGATGGGGAAAGTTCTGTGCAGAAAAATAAAGCAGGGGCAGGGTGCAGTGGCTCACGCCTGTAATCCCAGCACTTTGGGAGGCTGAGGCAGGTGGATACCTGAGGCCAGGAGTTTGAGACCAGTCTGGCCAACATGGCGGAACCCCATCTGTACTAAAAATCAAAAATTATCCCCGTGTGGTGGTGCATGCCTGTAATCCCAGCTACTCCGGAGGCTGAGGCAGGAGAATTTATTGAACCAGGGAGGCAGAGGTTGCAGTGAGCTGAGATTGTACCATTGCAGTCTAGCCTGGACAACAAAGTGAGACTGTCTCAAAAAATTAAAATAAAATAAAAAAATAAAGCATGGAGGCAGGATCAGAACTGAGAGGGGACGGGGGACTTGCATCTTGACTATGGTCAGGGTAAGCTTTGCTGAGAAGGTGCCACTGGAGCACAGCTCCAAAGAGGGGGCCAGACAGGCCTCTGGGGAAAAGCATTCCCGGCAGGGGAGCAGCCAGTGCAAAGGCCCTGAGGTAGGAGTATTTGGGGCACATTCAGGGTACATTGAGGCCAGTGTAGCTGACGCAGGATGAAGAGAGGTGCTGTGTGGGAAGTAAGGTTGGAGGGGTGATGGGGGCAGATCACATGGGGCTTTGTGGGCCATAGTGGGGACTCTGGCTTTTTTCCTGAGCAGAGGATGGATGTGATCTCACTGAGGTGTCCATTGGTTGCCTGCTCTACCTACTACCCAGCTTTCTCTCCCAAGTCTATAATCCCAGAGACCTGCTCTGTCCTCACCCCCTCCTGACCCGTAGCGTATTGGTCAGGAGCTTCGGTTTTAGAGCAGACGGAAGACCTGGGTTTGAATCTACCTCCAGCCCTTGGGAACTGTGCCACCTTGGCTTAACTTCAGGAAGCCTTAGTCTCCTTATCTGTGAAATGGAGATTTGGAGAATTGGTGAAATGAGGTCTGAGTCTAAATGTGTCCAACACAGAGCTGCACAGATACTAAGTGCAGGTGGATTAGCATCTACCACCGTGCAAGGGAGGAAAGTCACTTCCAGGGAAAATCATGACGGACGTGCCACCGAAGGCAATGTGGGAAGGCGGATGCCTCTGGGGGTCCTACCTCTGGGAGCCCTGCCAGAGTCCTACGGCAGGACTCAGGACTGACTGGGGAAGGGAGTGAGGGAGAGAGGAGACTGTGAGATGCCTAGGAATCCAGCTTGGAGGATGGGGTTGATGGTGGGTCCATTACTGGGCAGGGCACCTGGAAGGAGGAAAGGAAGATGTCAGATGATGTGGGGAGCATATGTCTAGGAGATGCTTCACTGCCAGGAACACTGCCCCGCCCAGACTGGTAAGTCCCAGATGAATGAATGTCCCCTGTGGAACCCTTTTTGTAACCCTATCTGAGAGTCTCCGCTCTCGAATAGTGGTGTTGACTCCATTAGCACTTGCGGTAGCTCCTGACATATTTAGCTTCATTCTTGCTATCTTATTGGCTAGAATCCTTTTTTCTATTCTCCTAGTGGTTATCATCCCACCCCACCCCCAACACGTTGAAACTTCTATTTTTCTTTTTTTTCAAGACAGGGTGTTGCTCTGCTGCCCAGGCTGGACTGCAGTGGTGCAATCTCGGCTCACTACAGCCTCTACCTCCCAGGATCAAGTGATTCTCCTGCCTCAGCCCCCCAAGTACCTGGGACTACAGGCACCTGCCACCACGCCCAGCTGATTTTTGTAGTTTTAGTAGAGATGCGGTTTCATCATGTTGGCCAGGCTGGTCTCAAACTTCTGACCTCAAGCGATCCCCCTCCTTGGCCTCCCAAAGTGCTGGGATTACAGACAAGAGCTACCATGCCCGGCCTATTTTTCTATCAGCATTAAAAATTAACCAGTGTCAGGCCAGGCACGGTGGCTCATGCCTGTAATCCCAGCACTGTGGGAGGCCGAGGCAGGCAGATCACCTGAGGTCAGGAGCTTGAGACCAGCCTGGCCAACATGGAGAAACCCCATCTCTACTAAAAATACAAAATTAGCCGGGTGTGGTGGCACATGCCTGTAATCCTAGCTACTCAGGAGGCTGAGGCAGGAGAATTGCTTGAACCTGGGAGGATGACCCTGTAGTGAGCCCAGATCGTGCCATTGCACTCCAGCCTGGGCAACAGGAGTGAAACTCCGTCTAGAAAAAAAAAAATTAACCAGTATCCATACCCTCCCACCCCAGCAGTCAAGGACTTCTGCATATTTTTAACTTTCCTGTGGGTTTCCACATCTGTCCAGTCTCCCCCAGGCCAATGGCCTGTGTACCCTGTATCCGGCTGGGGGTAAGGGCAGTCTCTCCTCACCGTCTCTGGTTCCCAGGAAGGGTGTGGGGATTCAGTCTGGGTCCAAGCATGGCGAAGCTGGCACCCAGTCTCAGGTTCCAGGGATAGCGTGTAGGAGAGATTGTCCTCAGAGCCTGTTTGTGGACGGATGGAAGGGGTGTGGGTCTGATAGGAAGGGCCTCGTGACCTTGGACTTAACCCCCTTCCTCCCCCAGCCCCCTCCCAGCACTGCGGTGCTCTAGGTCTTACCACAGCTGGCGTGGGGAGCTGGCGTGGGTGGGATAGGGGCTCCGGGGGGCCCCGCATCGCCCTTGGCCCCTAGCCTCTTCTTACACTCCACCTTCACCTGGTCTCTGCAGTGTTTGTGGCAACACAGACCGCACTCTGGGGGAAGGCAGCAGTTAATGGCCAGGGGTCCAATCTGTGCCGTCCATTCTTCCAGCCTGTGGGCCAAGGCTTCCCTCCCACTTGCTGATGCCCCACTCACCCCGACAGCGGTAGCCTTGTTTGGTGACACCCCAGAGCTGGGAAGAGAAAGCAGAAAAGGTTACGGAGAGGGAGGGCTGTGGATTGGCAGGGCAGCTGGGGAGTGGAAGTGTGGAAGCTACCCAGGTTTTGAAATTCTCAAGGCTAGAGATTTAATTGTAATTAAAGGAATGTGGGTGGGGTACAGTGGTTTATGCCAGTAATATCAGCACTTCGAAACTCCAAGGTAAGAGGTTGGGAGGCCAAAGTGGGAGGATCACTTGAGTCCAGGAGTTCAAGACCAGCCTGGGCAACATAGGGAGACGCCCCCCCATCTCTACCAAAAAATTGTTTAAATTAGCCATTAGCTGGGCATAGTGGCGTACACCTGTAGCCCCAGCCACTTGGGAGGCTGAAGTAAGAGGATCAGCTGAAGTAAGAGAATCGCTTGAGCTCAGGAGTTGGAGGCTGCAATGAACCACGTTCGTACCACTGTACTCCAGCCTGGGTGACAGAGCAAGACCATCTCTTAAGAAAATAAATAAAGGAAATTTGGAGATTATCTCAAGTTTAGAGAATCACCTAGGATATTAGATTTAAAATTTTGAGTTACTAAAATGCAAATTTTTTTTTGTTTTGAGACAGAGTTTTGCTCTTGTTGCCCAAGCTGGAGTGCAGTGGCATGATCTGGGCTCACTACAGGGTCACCCTCCCAGGTTCAAGCAATTCTCCTGCCTCAGCCTCCTGAGTTCAATTGATTCTCCTGCTTCAGCCTCCCGAGTAGCTGGGATTACGGGCATGTGCCACCATGCCTGGCTAATTTTGTAATTTTAGTAGAGATGGCGTTTCTCCATGCTAGTCAGGCTGGTTTCGAACTCCTGACCTCAGGTGATCCCAGCTGGCCTAAAATGCAAATTCTATGGGCAGGAATTATCTGCTGTATTCCTACTTTATCCCCAGGGCCTTGGATTACCTAGCACACAGGAGGTGCTCAGTAATTATTTCGTGAATAAATAAATGAATGTGGGAAGTAATCCAAGGTTTATGAATTAGTGTCGGGTTAGAGGTTGAGAGACTGATCCACTAGCCAGCGTATGAAGATATCTTGAATTTGGAAATTATTCAGCGTTTGAATGAACTGGAGTCCAGAGATTCGGAGGATGATGCTGTTTGAACACAGTCTACCCAGTTTTGGAGATTATCCAAGTTTCTTTTTTGAGACACAGTCTCCCTCGGTTGCCCAGGCTGGAGTGCAGTGGTGCAATCTTGGCTCACTGCAACCTCCACCTCCTGGGTTCAAGCAATTCTGTGATCCCGAGTAGCTGGGATCACAGGTGTGCACCACCACGTGTGGCTAATTTTTATATTTTTAGTAGAGACAGGATCTTGCTATGTTGCCCAGGCTGATCTTGAACTCTTGAGCTCAAGCAATCCCAATAGTGCTGGGATTACAGGCGTAAGCCACCATTCCTGGCCTCCTATCCAGAGTTTTAGATATTATCCATGATTCAGTGATTTTTCTGGGGGTGGGGATTATCTGGGATTGGGGGATTATCTGGCATTTGGAGATTATCCAGGATATAGGGAATGTCTGATGTTTAGGGCTTATATGAAACAGGATAATTCGAGGCTGGAGGATTTCTGGAATTTGGGGGTTATCTGGGGCTTGGGGGCTGCCGGCTCCAGGACAGATGGAACCTAAGGGTGGTGATGAGGCAGAGTGCTCACGAAGCCACTGCAGCTGTCGCAGAAGGTAGGCTTGCGGAAGGTGACCTCATGGAAGGTGTGCAGGAAGGCCAGGCCCAGCTTGGAGCAGATGGCGCTGGCCCGGAGCAGGTACCCTGTCAGCTCCTCTCTGCTGAAGGAGCCTCTCCTGGGGGCAGAAAGTGAGCCTCAGCATGACTGGCCCCAACCTCCCCCAGACCTGGGAGTCCTCATCTTCGGGGGATCCAGGAGTCAGAACCACTTACCCCTGGCGTGGGGGCGGGTGAAGCCCATGGCAGGCGAAGGGAAAATTGCCTGAGAGCCGCTCAAAGTCCTCCTGAGAGATGGTTCCTCGGCCTTCAGGATCGTAATTCTTGAACACGGACTTCAGAAGAGTGTGGGGAAGCAGGTAAGGCCCAGTCGTGGAACTACACTCCCCAGGGCTGCGAGTCCCCACCTCCAGGCTCAGGGTTCTACAGATGTCTCCCCTCCTGGCTCCTGGCGGCCAGGCCACCCTTCCCTCCTCACCTCCACCAGCTGCTCCACGTGCCGACCCAGTGTGACCCTGTCCGGCTTGGGTGTCACACCAGGGGCCCACTCCATCACTAGAGGTGCTTTGAAGGGGGAGGGTGGCTGGGGCAGGGACAGAGAGGCAGAGTTAGTCACTGCATAGGCTCAGGGGAGTTGGAGGTAATTGGGGGGGAGGGCGTCCCAGGTTAGGGATCGGGTCTCACCAGACTCTTGGGACAGCGTGGCTCCCGGGCATAAGAAAGCTCATAGATCTCGTCCTCCGTGTAGAAAAGATCCAGGGAGAGCTGCAGCAGACAGGGGTATTACAGCTCCACCCGTCTACAGCCCTGCCTGGCCCCCACACCCATTCTCAGGCTCTTCCCAAAGCCCCTCCTGGGGTCAAATCCTAGCGTTACTGCTGTGGGACAGTGAGCAAGTGACCCCGCCTCTCTGGGCCTCAGTTTCCCAATCCACAGAATGGGCAAAGTAAGGGTCCCAACCTCATAAGGTTGTAAGGTGGAATGAGGCACCTGGCACATAGGCAACGATGAATAATTGTTATTAGCCTTTTGCTTAGATTCTTGGATATGTCCAATCTTGAGATTTGGGGCTATCAGCATGAGAAGCTCAGAACCTTGGGATTTAAGAATGTAACCCCAGGCCAGGCGCAGTGGCTCACACCTGTAATCCCAGCACTTTGGGAGGCCGAGGTGGGCAGATCACCTGAGGTCAGGAGCTTGAGACCAGCCTG